AGTTTTAGAATATACAGCCGAACATTCTTGCCGTCCACATTTATTTAAGTGTGAAACCGTGAACTACTGTGCTCTTTTCCATCATTTTATTTGCTCAGAACAAGCCCAGTTTTGCTGGCAAAATGGTAGAATAGATTGAAAACGCACACATATACACATACATATCAGGGGCTGATTGGAAAGTGCACATCAGACAGGTAGCAGCAGTTTTCCAGACACATTGTCCTGGGTCTGTTCAGGATCTTATCTTCCAATTTCCTCGCCTTCTGATCATGTGTACAGTTTGCTCTAACGCCAACAGCCTCCTTCTCTGGGTTGTTCTCCTCTTCTACACACATACACACACGCGCGCGCTCGCGCACACACACACGCACGCACATAGAGGCAGGCGTATATGTCTCCCAAGGTACACAACAAATGCTAGGAGTGAGAGCACTAACTTCACCTAATATAATGAGAGAGACACCATGGGCCATTTCTTTTCCATTGGATTCATGCAAAGAAAAAAAAGAGGGGGGAGTGTGGAGGGGGGAAACCCCTGTGTGGAACCTCAGGGTTTTAAGTAAGAGCGGATAAAGCCATTAGCGGCTGACAAGAAGCCATGCCAATATTTTAGAATGGCCTAAGCCAGGCAGTGGTGACACATACACGCAAACACATATATTTTAACTAATATACTGTTCCAGATGTTTTCTCCCTTGACTGAGGACTGTCAGAATTGAAGGATGTCAAGTGTGTAGAGATGAAGTGGTTGTAAGGAGGGATGAGGAAAACAACTTTATTTGGAAGTCACACTCTCGGTACCTTTGTAAGTAAGAGCCTACCAGTGTCCGTTTCTGTCTTTCGTTGATCTCCTTCAGAGATAGTCAGGGAATTGGGGGGAAAAAGAATGGTGAACTATTTGGGGCTCAGGGCGCAAAGGTTAGCAAGGAAAGGTTGTTTTGAACTGCTGGAGGTTTAAATGGCATATGTAAACATGTTATGTAAGGAGACTTAGCTAATTACAGCATGTGCAACTTTTCTGGTCCTCCAGGCATGGAAGCATGTTTGTGTGTGTGTGTGTAACTGTGTGTTTCACATTCTTTTAACAATAAATATTGATTTAACTGTCTTTTGTTTCATCCTCAGTTCTATACCTAGCATAAAATAGTAGAAACAGGAACATGACTCCTGCTTTGCATTCCTGGTAGAAAGTGTAATAAAACGTCCCTTAGAGAATTATTTCTGTACGTCTTATATTTTAAACTCCTGGTTACGAGTGCTTATTTAGGCATCTTTTAGGAGAATTTAGCAGTTTAAAGATGTTATGTTGCATAAGGCTTTCCTCTGTTTTACTGCTTAAGTTGATTAATAATTGCTTTAGTCAGGAATTGTTAAGGTCTCATATAAACAAAAAGAGAAATTACCTATCAACTGTACAATAGCCTTGAACATGGGATGAGGTTTGTGCAGCTCTGTCTCCAGGGATAATACTATAGAGTGCTTCCAGCTCAATGTCTGATTACTGTTTCCCAATATTGCCAAATGTCTCATAGTTACTATATTTGATTTGGAATGGTAATTGAAATTCTTTGGAAGTGCTGTATGGCTTGGGTGAGCATGCTTGACTGGATGGCAGGATTCCATTTTTGTTATGACCTGAGAAAGAAGGAATCATTCTTAAATCTGAAGTTGTGTTCCTTAAAGGACTTCTTCCATAACCCACATTTCCCTTTCATTTAAATGTGTGGGTTTTTTTTTTAAACATTTGCAAGTAGATAGTTACTTCTTGGGTGAAATTTTCAGCTTGTGCAGTCCCACATATACTTTCCTGGGAGCAAGTCTCTTTGAATCAGTAGGGCTTGCTATTGAGTAGACTGGCATATGATTGCACTGCTATTAACTTAGACAACCTCAGTAAACTGAATAACCTGCATGCTAGATAGCTGAAAGTCCATCTATTTTGTGTGTGCTTTCTCATGCCACAGTGCTGATGAATTCAACTTGCTGAGGAGACAGAATTGCATCTTTCATTACTGTCCTCCCTAATACTCAGGGCATTAACACAAGTAAGTTAAGAGAGGATTTGGGTTTTCAGAGCATTTCTTGCGAATGTGATTAGCTCTGGATAGAAATGGCATGCTCTAGACAGAAAGCAGGAAGAGAGCCAAATTTAAAAGTGCATGCTAATTTGAGTTGCCTTTGAAATGAAATGTTCAAATATGTAAAACAAAAACAAAGAAATGCTTCTCAACAAACCTGGAAGCTCAGGAGGAGGAAATCTGGGCAAAATTATTGTCTTAGTTGAACGTTCAATATGTATGGGAAGCAGCTCTCACTCTAGATGCTCAGAAATAACTTTTATTTTCATGCCTTGAAATTCTGGAGTTAAAGGACAGGTTTCGAGGTCATCATCCTTAACGGGTGAAGGGATATTCTAAATTCATTAAAATCCAGATGTCCCTCCACTAGAGGAGAAGAAAGAAACCTAAAATTTATTTTTTGCCCGTTCATTGTTCTTACTCTAGAAGCAGTATAATAGAATAATATTTAAATGATAATTTACAGGATGCGTTACTTTAAAAGAAATAGTCTTGTTTTCAGACTATTGTGTGTGAGCCCCTTATGCCGGGGAGAGGGTGGATTCATTGCAACCTTACAGATGCCTCCCGAATAGTTCATGGAGATAGTAAACAAGCGTGTCCGTCGCACTTAACTTCTTAAAATTATCTGCCAAAATCTGATTTAGGTATGGAAGCAACTACTTGTAAGTATCGGCTAAATTAAAAATAAATCAATGAATAAACAGCGCGGTCGTGGGAAATGGTGGACGGAAAAGAGCCCAAGTCTTTCCTTTTTTTCTTTTCTTTTTTTGAAGGCCGGATTCTCCGGGCCGCCAACAAGTGTCAGAAATCTAAATGCCTCCTTGCCCAACTCTGCTTCCCAGGACGACTTCTGTATGCAAAGCCTGTCTCTTTCCTCATTGTACCCATTTCTGTTGGGAACAGGGGCCCTGGAGATTTGTGTGCGCTATAAATAATCAGCAGCCAAACGGATGGCGGAACTGGACCGGGAGGTTAGGAAGCGCGGGTGAGGAGGTGGTAACGCTGGAGGAGATCGATTGCGCGCCCCTATTTAGGGAGAAAGGCATCCTCTCGAAGTAGCTCCTCGTGGAACGCTGGCATCCTTGGCGAGGGGAGGGATCAGAGTGCGAAAACTATACCCGTTATGACAATTAAGACCCCGATACCATCATTGTCCCGCCTCCAATTTTCAAAAATAAAATCGAAAATTCTAGTCTTGGCAAAAAGCAACCCAGGCAGAGTGACAAACCTGCTCGCTTGCCTAGGACCCCCTAGAGTGGTGATCCGCAGGGATTTCGGAGTGCAGGTACGCTCAGAGCGGAGCCCGTCTTCCGAATTCATTCACAACTTTTGGCGAGTGTAGAGCAAAGAAGGCGGGCGGAGGAGAGCTGACAACTTCTTGGAAAGCCTTTTTGGAGCCCAATTGCTCTCCTCCCTCCCGTCTTGCCTTCGGATCCCCGTGGCGGCTTTGCTTGGCCATGATCCCACTACACACGCACACCGCGCGAGCGGAAGTTTTGAGAAAGTCCCTGCGTGATGCACTACCTTCCCTCTCCTCCGCTCCAGCCCACCCCCAGCCCAGCGCCTGCTCCATCTTTGTTGTTGCTGTTACAGGAAGGAACCTGGGACTCGGGAACAGCACTTGGGGAGCGGTGGTCGCGCCACAAATGAGCCGTTCGGTGGCCAATCAGGCCCTCCGCCTACGAAGGAGACACCGATCTGAGAGAGAGAGAAAGAGAGACGGGGGTTGGGGAGAGGCGAGAGGGGAGGAAGAAAGCGTCTCGGATGCGTACGATGGGCGGGAAGAGCGGAATGCAAGAGCCGAGACCCGGCGAAAGCCGGTGCAAGCCAGCAATCGGGGCAGCTCTAAGGGCCTGACTCTTTGGCATCAGGTTGATTAAGGACAACTCGAGTGGCGGTGCAGGAGCCGAGGGAGAGCTGCTCCCGCCAGCCGGCTTCGCCTTCCCGCCCTCCGGGGACCTGCCGCCGCCGCCGCCGCCGCCGCTTCCTCGTGGCTTTGCGCCTCTTTTGGCAGCGACCACTCATTAGCGCTTAAACGGCACGGAGGATCCCTCGGCTTGGACCGGCGAGACTTTCCAGCCGCCCTTAATCTGTCAGTTAAACGTAGATAAAAACAAAATGCGGGGAGTAAATGCAAACACCAGGCAAGCTCGGTGCACTGGTTGGGGGCACTAAAGGGGGGAGGGGAGAGGGAAGGGGGGAGGAAGAGAAGGGTCTTTTGGAAATTGCCCACAAACAGCGGCGCAGGCGCAGATCGCTCCGTGTCCTCTTCCTCTCTTCTCCGCCCCTTTCCCCCTTCCTAAATCTTTTCAGACTTCAGCGGGGACCTGTCATCGCTGACGTCGGTCAGGCGGCTTCGGCCAATCAGAAGCTGTCCTGATTGTTTCGCTCTCTGGGTTGGAGCCCAGACTCTGAAGCTCTATTCAGTAGCAAAAAAAAAAAACCCACCGAAATATACCCCTTCCGCAGAATTAAATACATAGCAAATGTATGCCTCCCCGGGGGGGGGGGCAAAAGAAGAAGAAACAAACAAGGCCAAAATAGTCCAGACCAAATGCGAAGGGGGAGGACATAAACTTTCAAAAAAGTTTTTTCCCTCCTCACTACGCTCTCTCTCTCCCCCCCCGCGCTGTCCTTTTCCTCTCTGT